AGCCAGTTTTTCACATACCCAGAAACGAAACTGAATTAAGAAATAAAAAATAAAAAATTACAACTTCAATTCACAAGTGAAGAAGCACCTTCAAAGGGACATTGAAGAAGAAAAGCCTCAATTTCCCTTCAACTCGCGTGTCAGTATCGAATGGAATCACACCCTTGGCTAGATCTTGCAGCAAGTAGAAAGCATCGTAGACGACCTCAAACCCATCGACTCTGAGCGTGACATCGACGTAGGAATAGCGGCGCATCCCGATGCGGCCACCGCCGGCGGAGGTGACGAACCCTAGCTGGCGGCCGCGGTAGCCGACAGAGACGGCGAGGGAGTCGTAGAAGAGGGAGAAGAAGTCATGATTATCCTTGTATGACTGGTTTGGATGTTCAATCATTGTTGATGTCAGGATCAATATCTTGTGATTTTATTTGTTGTTGATTTTTGAATTCCAATGTTTAATTTAGCATTTAAGATTATATAAATTTAATTAATTTAAATTGCAGATCATATAAATTTTAAAAAAAATGTCTTTTAGCATTTAAGGTGTTTTTTTGATAAAATATGGTATTTGGATTTTAAAGTTAAATAATTTTTTTGTTAAAAAATTTACATTCCTTTATTTATTCAACAAATATTAAATTTATTATATAATTTATATATTTTAAAATAATTAATTAATTAAATTACATGAGTTTGAAAATTAAATCAATAATTATAAAAAAAATAAACTTTGAAACCAAGTCAAAAGTGGATCAGGTCGGATTTGACCCAATTTTGAAACCAAGTCAGACCCACTTTAAAAATCAAGTCAGGTCAGCTCTGATCCAGTTTTGAACCAGTTCAAAAAATATTCAATTTAGGTCAAACCTGACTTGGATTAAATAAACTGGGTCGGGTCAAAATACCTGACCCATAAAACCAAGTCAGGTCGGGTCAGCACAAAAATCCGCTCCGACCTGCCCCATGCACAGCCCTACCTTTAAGTGCTATTTCCCAGCAGTTACAATAAATTTTGCATCTAATGAGAAGCTAACACTTGAGACAGTAGAACAAGATAAAGTTGCTAGAAGCTTTGTTAACATCTCACCACTCCGCCAGTCCCAAAGGTAAATATATCCCCAACAGATACCAGATGCTTACCTTAGACAAAATACTATATAATGAGTAAGAAGCAGTGAGTAATAAAATTCAAGACAAGCATATAGATTCCTAAGGTGTAACCAACCATTGGGTGAGAAACAGATGCATGCAACTCCATATAGATGATCTTTCAGTTTGGAGGCAAAGGCCAAAGTAGAAGAGTCACATACTAGTACTGAGGACTGGCTCCATGCCTGCAAATCCTTGTTAGATTCTTGTAAAAAGTGTAAAAAATGAAGCCATTATATGTTATTCATTTATTCTCAATCTTTTCCATATCCATATATACTTTTTTTTTGAAAAACAAAGAAAGCAAAACAAACTATATGTCCCTAACTACCCGGGGCCAAACTACCCCATTACAATCATTCTCAATAAGCCCATAACAGCCAACATGAGGTTCCTCAAAATAAGCAGTCTGCCATCCTAGGGAAATATCCTAGTTTGCAAGCCAATCAGCTACCCTATTCCCTTCTCTAAATATGTGAGCACATTCCACTTGCCAGTCTTGATTCCTTAATTTGATGACCCTATTAAGCAGCCCTCCAAGAGGATGGTCTTCAGGCACTCCATCTCTGATCATATTCAAAGCAACCTTCGAGTCTCCCTCCAAAATCACCTTCCTATACCCAAGATTCCATGATGTCTGTAATCCCAACAAGAAGCCCCAGATTTCAGCCCTCACCGAGCTACTAGCTCCCAAATTCCTAGCAAAACCCATTCTCCATGAACCATCCTCACCCCTTAGAACTCCTCCACAGCCACTCTGCATACTACCATTCTTTGATGAACCATCACAATTAATTTTGATCCAACCCGCAGGTGGCTTTTCCCATCTCACAGATATCTCCTTGTTACTTCTAATGTGTAATCCAGCAGCACCATATAGCTCCTGAGCCTTAATATAATTGGAAAGCTGGACAAAAGCTGATCTCACTGTGCTTCCCTCACTAGGAGTAACATTTTCAAAAACAAACAAATTCCTATCTTTCCATAGGAGCCAACAGATCAAACCAAACAGTAAGCTCCCATTGCTGCCTACTAGCATACACTTCTTTCTATTCAGATTAATCTTTAACCAGGAATGAAGAGGTAAATTAAAGAAATCATAACGTGCCTCAATCTTCACAAGACTGTGCCATACCTCTCTTGCCCATCTGCAATCTCTCATTGTATGCAAGCAGCTTTCAACTGCACTTTGGCATTGAGGGCAATCACTCGAAACTCCCAAATGCCTCTGGACTCTCCTCTGGTTTGTAAGCAGTTTCTCCCCAAGGAGCAACCATAGGAAAGTTTTGACCCTTGGAGGACCCTCCCACTCCCAAGCAAGATTCCAGTCACATTGGTTCATAGTGGAATTCTCCTCACTAAGAAACTCATAAGCTGTCTTAACTGAAAAGCTGCCATCTTGGGAGTAATTCCAAACATTTCTGTCATCTCCTTCCTCGGGTGTAGGAGGGCATATTCCTTTTAAATGGGTCAGAGCTGCTTGGTTTAGCAGCTCACTTAAAACATGCCACTTCCACTCACCACATGAATCCACCATGTCAGCTACAGTAGCCTCTTGGGCCTCCAGGGGTATAGCCTGGGTTTTAAAGTCATCCAGAATACCAATCTGCAGCCATTTATCCCTCCAGAAAGAGCACCCCATCCCATTGCCAACCATAATCCTAGACCCTTCAAGCACCTTCGGCCACACCCTAGAAATCCCCTGCCATAAATTTGAGCATCCAGATTTCCTTGGGAGATTAGGCATTAGACCTTCCCCCACTTTATACTTATTCTTCAACACTTGCACCCATAGCTTGTCACCTTTAGTCAAGATGCCATGCCCAACTTTCATAAGGCAAGCTCTATTGTTCATTTTTATGTTCCTTATCCCAAGGCTCCTATCTTTTTTAGCTTTACACACCACATTCCAGGGGTATGCATGAATTTTCTTCTTGCCTCTATTGGATCCCCAGACGAAGCTTCTCATCTTTTGCTCCACTGCTTCGCAAGTACTGATTGGGAGAAGGGTTGTCTGCATATAATACATTGGAATGGCAGCTATGACAGACTTAGTTAGGACTACTCTCCCAGCCAAGGATAAAACTCTCTCCTTCCAAGCATTCAGCTTGCTGTTTGTCCTTTCAATGACATAGCTGAAAGTATTCCTATTAACTCTCTTGTGCAAAATTGGAACCCCCAAATACTTCCCAAGATCAGCTGTCGTTGCAAAACCCATGGTCTGGCTCAGCTCACTCCTTCTAATATGATTCACATTTTTTGAAAAATAGCATCTCGTTTTGCTAGCACTAATCTTTTGCCCTGAGGCTTGGCAGAATTGAGCCAGAATACTTGAAATCACTTCATCTTGTTCTCCACTTGCCTCAGTAAATATTAGAAGATCATCTGCAAAAAATAAATGAGATATTGGAGTCACATTCCTCCCCATCTTTACAGATTTCCACTCCTTTTTTTCAACAGCCCTACTAATCAGGTGACCAAGTCTTTCCATACATAAGACAAATAGATAAGGAGACAAGGGATCTCCTTGTCTTATGCCTCTAGAAGGATTAAAATCTTCAGTTAACTCACCATTCCACAAAATATTCATAGAGGGAGTTGTTACACAAGCCATAATAATATTTACCAAGGATCTATCTAAACCAGTCAATACTAGAGTCTCTTCAAGGAAATCCCATCTCACCCTATCATAAGCCTTTTCCAAATCTACCTTCACAGCCATCCATCCTTTCCTACCTCTTTTACATCTTATAGAATGAAAAATTTCTTGGCATATAATGATATTATCCTAAGCATGCCTACCTTTGACAAAACTACATTGATTAGGCATGACTAAGGAACTTATATGATCTCTCAACCTGGTAGCAATCAGCTTTGTAATCCCTTTGTAAATTACATTACACAAGCTAATGGGTCTAAACTGGCTAATCAATTTAGGATGCTCCACCTTGGGTATAAGACAAATCAAAGTTTGATTTATCTCTCCCACTCTCTTCGGATCAACAAACACATCCTTGATTAGCCTTGTAACAGATTCCCCCACTTTATTCCATTGAGCTTGGAAAAAAGTTGCATGTAACCCATCAGCCCCTGGGGCTTTGAAAGGGTTCATCATATCAAAAGTCTTCTTAATTTCCTCCATTCCAGGGCTCCTCCCAATACTATTCCAGCTCAAACTATCAATTCTAGGGAACAGATCCTCCAAGCAAAGCCTCAGGCACCCAGCATCCTGCTCAGTATACAGGCCCTTGAAATAATCAGTGGCCATCTTTCTCAACAGATCTGGATTGTCCACCCAACTACCATCTTCATCCTTAAGAGTACTCACCTTATTCCTCCTAGCCCGAGCCACTGTAGCAGAGTGAAAAAACCTTGTGTTTCTATCCCCAAAAGCCAGCCAATTGCTCCTGGACCTTTGGAACCAGGTTAATTCTTCCTGTATATAAATGGTATTCAGCTCATTCCACAACTCCTTATACAACCTTTCCAAAGATTCATTAGGACCTCTGTTCAGTATTGAGTCAACACCTTTAATTCTCCTTTGGAGCTTAAACTTTCTTTTCTGGTCCAGCTTGAAAGTATTCTGGTGCCAGTAAGAAACCTCACCTTGGAATTTATCTTTAGCTGGAATCCAACTAGCCTCCTTATTCCAACAGTTATCCATAACTTCACTGAAGCTATCATTTGTCATCCAAGCTGCTAAAAACCTAAAAGGCTTCACTCCACCCGGATTCCCTTCAAATCCTGAATCCTTCAAAATGACTGGCCTATGATCCGAACCAAAGAATGGAAGGTGAGTCAAAGATCTGTTAGGGAATCCCAGTAGCCACTCCTCATTTGCTACCAACTGTCTAATTTCTCCTGTAAAGCCCCCTCCTCCAGGTGAACATGGGCCCAGAAGCACCAAGATCAGACAAACCACAATCACTAAGGCAGGAATTAAAATCCTGGATGCTGTCCCAGTTCACCACAGCACCCCCTTGTTTCTCCCCTTCTTCCATATACACATTAAAATCTCCCATTGTAGCCCACTTCCCCCCAACAGAAGCCAGACTCCTCAGGTTATCCCATAGGACTTTCCTCTCCATCCTCCTAGGGCTAGCATAGACAAAAGTAAACAATTCTTCCAAACCTGAATCCACCCACACAATTTTTGAATGAACAAACTGATGGTCCTCCTCCAGGATCCTCACAGTAGCTATATTCTTATTCCAGAGAATCCAGATTCCCCCAGAAAAACCAGCTGCTTCCCTTAAGAAAAAACTATCGAAACCTAAGTTCCTTACTACCTTATCAGCTTTCCTACCACTTATCCTTGTCTCCAGCAACACCAACACCTGCACTTTATTCTGGTAAACCAAATCCTTGATCAGAGAGGAGAAACCCTTTTTCCCCGCTCCTCTGTAATTCCATGTACAAACTATCATCAAAAGGAAATTATTTAAAGAAACCGGACCCAAATCCTAGACCACAACAATGGTTTTCTCCTTGACTCCCAAGTCATTTGTGATATCATCAAGAGCCATATCTGCTCTACCCTTCTGATCCCCATCTTGGCCTCCTCTGCAAACATCTGGAGGATTTTCTTTGAAACCCGAACTGGACAGCAGAACAGGAGCAAACTTCCTACTATTCTCCTTCACAAAACCAAGGCATCCTTCCTGTAATTTAGGAACAACAACAACCTCACCCTGATTCCTGTCTTTATTAACTTCCTTATTCACTAAAATAGCCACCCTACCAGATTGTCTAGGAATTGATTTTTTGGACATACTTAAGGAAGTAGCATTACTCACCAGGTTACCCGAGACTGAACCATCACCTCCTTGCTTCTGTTCAGGAGCTTTCCTATCAGCATTTACTTTCTTCTTTCTACCAATCTGCCCCTTACTCTGTTGCCCCACTTCAACAGTCCCCTTCCCTTTATCCAAACCAGTTCCAGTCCCCGTAGCTGGTTGCTCCGAGATGTCTCCACTCAAGCTAGCCTCCAGAGGCTCAAATCTGGACCCAGAATCCTTACTGGGAGAAATTAGATCCGAATTCCTAACTCTCGATTCCTTCCCCATACCTTCCTTAGCTTTTAGGTTTATGGGCCTCTTTTTATTTCTCCTTTGCACTGTCATCCAGTTTCCAAACCCATTCTCTTCTTGACTTTTTTCTACCTCATCTTCCCTCAAACCTGCCTTGTCCTCCTGACTAGGTTGTTGACCTTGTACCTCTTCTCCCTTCATCACTTCTGACTTTGAAACATTACCAGAATTAAAACAACATTGGTCCTTCTTATGCCCATACTGACCAAAAAGGAAACATATCAAATGTAAACCTTCATAACCTACGTATAACTGCCTTTGTCCTATCCTGAACTTTGATAAGAGACTCTTGCTCAGGTCAATTTCAACACAACCGAGCAAATCTCCCTCTGTCAGTAATCTCCTTCAGCTGTCCCTGCCCACTGATTCGCAAAGAATTTTCATCAATTCTCAGAGTACGCCCCACCATGTTCCCCATCCTCCAGAGGTCTTTATGAGTGTAGAACTCCCTTGGAACTCCTGGGATCCTAATCCAGACAACCAATTTCTTCACCCTCTCATCATACGGGTCAAAATTCGGCCTCCATCGCTGCACAATGAGATAATGCTCAGCTACTACCCAAGGGCCTTGCTGCTGAACAAACAAATAATCTTGGACCTTACTAAATTCCACCAGGTAGTGATCATTTTCCAGATCAAGCACCCTGTACTCTCCCTCCAGGTTCCAAAGCTTATGCAACCTGTTCCAGAGGAATCTCGCTCCAATCCTCTTCCCCACAAGCTTGACGATCAGCGTATTCCTCCACCTCTTGCATTGTTCCACTTTTTCTAGAACATCGAACTGATAATACGGGTTTAGAGGATCATCCTCTCCCGTTTGTTCATATGCTCTCAACGCTTCCTCCTCTTCAGCTTGCTCGCGCTTACACTGGGCCATCCAGTCCTCATCTTCAGCGTCTAGATTTCCATCCCAGATCCCGTTCACCCTAAGGAGTTGATCCTTATATGAGATCAGCTTCCTAGGGTCTCTCTTAGCCCCTTCATCCGAAACAATCGTTACATCTGGATCACCAGCTCCGATCTTCAAACTCGCGTTACCCTCTTCAACCTCCATTGCGCCCACAACCGGAGATTCTTCAAGCATGACCAGATCCATGCCATCCTCACCCTTCGCCTTCTTTGATTCCCTATTGATTAGTGCATCCCCCTCTAAATTTGGGGGTCTACCCCCTTTCACGACCATGAAACAAACCAAACCCTATCAGAGCTTCGAAAGAAAATTCACGCGCCCCACGCTTATACTCTTTCAATAGTTGGGGATTATTTCAACTAATATTAATGGCATCGAATTCAAGTTCCATATCCATATATACTAGTATTGAATGAGGAATGCTCCTTTCATGCATGAATCAAGTTCATTTACTGATGACATAACCGTCTTGAGCATGATATCTTTGCTATATCATACTCGACTTAAAAAGTTTCTAGTTATAATGGTTATTTAACTATTATGTTAAAAGCTCATCATGCACCTATTGGTTTGCCTTACCTATAATTAATTCACCCATATAGTGAGGAAACATTTCAATACCTAAACCTACTTCACATGCACCGTTGTAAATGCAAAATATCATATGATGTATGATGTTTCAATTTCATAAAATTTTGTAAAATATGAAAAATATATTCAAATGAAATTAGAAACTATGAAAAAATCATAAACCCGATACCTTCCTTTCCAGTGGGAAGGAATAAAAACTATAATGAAATTAGTGTAGAATATGACAACTCCAGAAGCCTAAAAAACAAAAACATAAGCAGTTTCTAGCTCGATTACCGAAAGAAACAAAAAGTGTAAGAGTTTGCGCAAAAAAAAATTAATTTAATGCTTTTTAATAAAATAATTACGCATTTATTACTGTTTTGAGAATAATTACATATCTATTACACAATGTGACGCTCCTTTTGGGCGTCACATGTGACGCCCCATTGAGGTGTCTCATCCTAAGAGGAGACGCCCCAATGGGGCGTCACTCATCAGGTGTTGACACGTGTCATTTTTTTCCAAAAAAATAAAATTAATTTAATCATAAAATTTTTGAAGGCCATAACTTTTGACTCAGGTATCCAAATTAGGTAATTCTTTTTTTGATTCCACATAACTTTACGAGATCTACGCATTGACATCTCATTTGATATTATAAGAGCGGTTAAACCCAGAAGCCTCTAAGTTCTGGATTTGTGATTTAATATTAAAAAATAAATTTTGATTTGTCATTTAATTTTTTTTTATAATAACAAAAATTTGGTTTGTGATTTAAATTAAAAATAAAAATAAAAAATTTTATTAATAAGGAAAACAAAATAAAGGTTTGATTTGTGATTTAAACTAAAAATTCAATTTGAAAAATCTGTAGAAAAAAAAGAAATAATTAAATAAATATTCTAAATCTCTAAGGAAGAAGGATATTATTTTTGAAATTAATGATTAATGTTATAAGCTTCTGGGTTATTATTTGTGGTCTGAAATAAATTATGGCATATGAATGTTTTTCAAAAACAAAATTACCTAAATTAGGTGATTGCCTATTGATTGAAACTCAATTTAGACGTAATTGAAACCCAATTTTGCCTATGAGTTCTGGGTTTGTGATTTAATATAAAAAATAAATCAAGATTTGATGTGTGATTTAAATTAAAAAAGTAACAATTATTATTAATAAGGAAAACAAAATAAAGATTTGATTTTTGATTTAAACTCAAAAATCAATTTGAAAAATCTGTATTAATAAAGGAAATAATTAAATAAATATTCTAAATCTCTAAGGAAGAAGGATTACCTGATTTAAATTTAAATTATGTTTGTGAGAAATAAAATATATCAAATGAGATGTCATTGCATAGATCTCGAAAAGTTATGTGGAATCAAAAAAAGAATTACCTGATTTGAATAACCGAGTTAAAAGTTATGGCCTTCAGAAGTTTTATGAAAATTATTTTTATTTTGGAAAAAAAAAAAATAACATGTGTCGACACCTGATGAGTGACGCCTAAATTAAGCGTGATTGCCTCTTGAGTGACGCACAATTTAGGCGTCTTTAGTGACGCCCAAATTCGACGTCATATTGTGCAATAAATATATAATTATTTCCAAAACAGTAATAAATACGTAATTAATTTATTAAAAAGCATCAAATTAATTTTTTTTGGTACGAGTTTGTTATCCCGAAAATCAAGATGCCCTTGGTTATTTAGTCCTAAAAAAATTTCCCACACATAAAAGTAAAATAATTGTTCGAACAAATTCAAACATAAGCAACACCTAAAAGAGCGATTACGATGTTATAAAAAAAAAAAAAAAAAAAAAAAAACAGCGATTACGCATTGATTTGGAAACACACACACAAACACAACTCAATACTGGTCATTACACAAATTAACAACAAATTTTTACTTGGCTCGCCGTTTCTAGCTCGATTTTCTCGAGAACGAAGGGATCCCTAATCAAGCAATCTTGAAGATCATCTTCAGCTTCGTGAAACTTCGTTTCATGATCTCATTGGATATTAGAGAGAGAAAGAGTGAGGACTTATTCATTATTTAGAAAAAGAAAAGGAATAAGAATGAGAGGGCAAGCTATTCTCCAAGAAAGTGAAAAAAATTCACAAAAACAGAAAATGAAAGAGATGTAAAATTCAAAAGCCAAGTAGTAAATATAATGAGAAATTGAAGCTGAGTGAGTTGCCATAATCATCGATCCAATGACTCTGGGTTTCGAAGGATAGGAGAATGAAGCTCTCTGTTAAGAGAGAAATCTCTTTTAAAAAAATAAATTATAAAAAAATAGAAAATATAAATTTTTTAAATCTGTTTGTTGTGTTTGATAATATATTGAAAGTGAATATAAATGATAAAAAAAATTATATATTTTCAAACAATTTAAAATAACAAAACATGATGTCAAATTGTGGAAGTTTAAAACCTGCCAAAAACTAAATCATTTAGTGGAGGTTTTTTTGACCTATACTAAAAAATCTCCAATCTTATATATATTAGAAAGTAAAACCGTAAATTGAAAACTTTGATGACGTGTCGTGTTTTTCTTCAATTTCAGCTTTGTGTTCACACCTATATGATGAATGAGATGATATAACTATCGTATTAAGCAGCGCTTAATAAAAAATGCAGAATATCATTTTCTTTCCAATTATGATGTCATTATCATTACCAACTTGCTTATTAATCAATTAATAAAAACATCGCCTGTATGTAATTGCAATAAAACAGCTAACTGAAATGTCTCATTAAATAAATAACATAAGTGTGTTTCTAGAAATCACGGGACTACCACAAGTAGGCCGGACCAACTAGCAGGTTACACAACTCCAATCTAAAAG